TGGGGCGTCAGGTCAGGTTGTACGGCGGCGTGCGGCCTCACCTGTTGACGCGCACCGTCCCCATGGCGCTAGTGATCATCAGGCTGGCGCTCAGCGGGATGAGGGGGCGGGCTGGCGGGGCGTCCCGGCTGGCGATTGGGCGAGGTGTGGCGAGGGGGTGGGCGTCGGCCTCGGCCGGAGGCAGGGTCTATTTCGGAAGATTGGGGATCGGCATGGCAGCTGGCCTGCTCGTGGCGCGCCTGCGGACAGCGGGAGAGACGGAGAGAGAGGGATGAGAGGGGCGAGGGGGCGGGGAGAGGCAGAGGAGGAGACGGTCAAACCCACCGCGGTCGTTACTGCCCTGTTTGTGCCGGTTTGCGACTTCCCACCTGCTCTCGTTCCTAAATTATATAGCGCCTTCCTTTCTGGGGGTGTGATATCACTCACCCCCCACAAAAGAGACAAGAGGCACGTGGCCTTCTGAAAACAAGAAGGCGCTATACCTCAGGAACGAGAGCAGCACTGACCGGTGGGTTTCAGTGCCCGTGCTGTGCGGAGCTCAGCGGAGCTCAGGGAAGGGGCGAAGGGAGAGGCGGAGGAGAGCGGGCGATCTCACAGCAAGGCTCTGACACAAACCAGTGCAAGATTCTGACTGACAGACCCTGCCTCCTGCTGCTCCACAGCGCTCGCGCCCCGTCAGACAGGAGAGAGAGGCCCGGCCGCGGCTGGCCCGCTGTTATTGGCCTGACCTCTGTGCGCGCCCCGCAGTGCGGGACGGCCCGGGGGCGTGGGCGGGGGGGCGGCGGGCAGCCGTGTGCCCGGGCACAGAGAGGCAGGGAGGGCAGGTCAATGGAAAGTGGCTGGCAGGGACAGGATCGATCTGGGAGCGCGGTGATGACAGACACAGAGTTCCCATCGCAGTCAATGACGCGCGCAGTTATTGGAGCAGCTCAGCACACAGAGACGCTGAGGGGCTTGTTGAGGTGGAGACACGCACAAACACACACGCACACACTGACACAGCCCAGTCACAGGGCTCTAGACTCTTCTAGTCCCTGTGGACACTGACACAGCCCAGTCACAGGGCTCTAGACTCTTCTAGTCCCTGTGGAGTCCAGCACACTGACACAGCCCAGTCACAGGCTCTAGACTCTTCTAGTCCCTGTGGAGTCCAGCACACTGACAC